TAATAAGAAGTGCAAAGGCTCAGAGGTAAGAAAAGGCATAATTCTGAGAACTGTAAATATGTCAGGGTTGTATGTGAGAATACCTGTTGAGGAGCTTGGATGATATTGGGGTTAGACCATATCAGGCATTTTAAGCCAAGACAAGAGGAGCCTGGCAGGCTACAGTCCATGGGGTGACAAAGAATCGGACACGACTTAAGCATACATCAGTTAGGAGACCACAGCTAACAGAACCCCCTGATTCAACTGATTTAAAAATAAGAAAAATAATGAATTTAGTGCCTTAAATCATAAGTCTGTAAATAGGGCTTCTCCCATGTTTTTTCTATATTTCTATTCTGTTATTCCCAGGCTTGCCCCCTACCCATCTTATGATGACTACAGCAGCTCCAGGTATCCTTCAGAAGGTAGAAAAGGGCCCTTTTCTTCTCTCTCTCATTATGTAAACTTTTAATTTTTTTTAAGATGGAGGAAATCTTTCCCAAAAATGTCTTTCATCCTCCTCCCATTCCTCCCAACAGCTGACTTCGGTTTAGCTAGAACTTTACCATTTGCCCAGGCTCAATATTTGGTAAAGGAATAGGCCACTGTGATGGATACAGACCGGTCACAGTTTACTCTCTAGGGCTGACGTGGGAGCTAGCACTCTTGAAACACATAGCCAAGCATAGCAGTGTGGTTACTAGAATAAAATTGGGATTCTGTTAACAAGGTGGAAGAGAGGTCATTGGTGTTTGGGGTGGACAGTCAGCAGAATCTGCCACACCATGCCAAGGAATTTGGACTATATCTCATTGGGATGGGAAACCACAGAAGGATTTTAAAACAGGAAATAGCATGATTATATTTCACTATGTCACAATGGAAGGGTACTCAAGAGGGGCATGGGTCTTTGGAGGTAGGGTGACCAGTTAGAAGATTTCAGCAGAAGATATTAGAGAGAATTTTAGGTCTTTGAATTAGAAACACCCAGTGACTAACTGGATGGAATGGGAAAAGGAAGTAGAAGGGATAGATTCAAGAATGACTTGCAGATTTCTGCTTGGGTGAATCACAGGGTATTTCATCAAAGTTGGGAATATGCATGGAGGAAGTTTGGGTGGATAAGGTGATGAGTGGAGCGACAGTGAATTTGGTCTTGGACAATAAAGTACCTACAGGACACATCAGGAGAAATCAGTAAACTTGGAGGGGATAGCGAAGACCACATTAAACTCCATTAGAGGTTAGGGCAGGATGGAGTGTAGAATGAAGGAGAATTGATGAGAAATTAAGCAAAGCATACAACTAACACATAGTGTGGGACTGGTTTGACTGATTTTGCTGGATAGAGTCAAGGATATCTTAAGAAAATTGCAAATTTAATTGTAGACAAGCCTGTAAAAAGCAGTTAAAAACCTGTTTTGAAATGCGTATTTCTGTAATTTGTTTCAGCATGTTGAATTACAGCAAATGAGATGGAGAAATGATCTCAACCCATTTTTTTGGCCGCCTGACTGGAAACCTCAGAACTAAGCCCTGTAAGCTGTTAATCAAATAAGCACTGCAGGCTTTTGTAAAGAATCATGCTTTACAAATGCTTAAAGGCAGTATTGGGATTAAAATGTAGGTTTCTTTTCTGTTTTTTAAATTGTATTTATTTATTTATTTTTGGGTGCACTGGGTCTTCATTGCTGTGCATAGGCTTTCTCTAATTGTGGTGGTGCTGCTGCTAAGTCACATCAGACGTGTCCAACTCTGTGTGACCCCATAGACAGCAGCGCAACAGGCTCCTCTGTCCCTGGGGTTCTCCAGGCAAGAATATTGGAATGGGTTGCCATTTCCTTCTCCAGTGCCTGAAAGTGAAAGTGAAGTTGCTCAGTCATGTCTGACTTTTAGTGACCCCATGGACTACAGCCTACCAGGCTCCTCCGTCCATGGGATTCTCCAGGCAAGAGTACTGGAGTGGGTTGCCATTGCCTTCACTGTAGTTGTGGTGAGTGGGGGTTAATCTCTAGTTATGGAAAGCAGGCTTCTCACCAAGATGGCTTCTGTTGTTGCAGAGCATGGGCTCTAGAGCCTGAGGGCTCAGTAACTGTGGCACACAGGCTCAGTTGTCCTGTGGCATGTGGAAACTTCCCAGACCAGGGATTGAAGCCCTGTACCCTGCATTGGTAGGCAGATTCTTAACCACTGGACCACCAGGGAAATTCTCTTTTCTGTTTTGTAACAGTAGTTATGAAATGTAAATTAGAAGATGTTTGAATGTACCATCAAGTTCTAATAGTTCATCAGCCATATACATTAAGTACAGTTTAAAACAGAAATAGGAATTTTATTTCTGCTCAAAAACACTCATTTAGTGGAACACTGGAATTTGAAACATACATAGATTAGATTTATAACTGCATAGTTAGTAGGCAACTTCAAGAATTAAAAAAGAAAAAAGCCAAAACATTTGTTGAATTTTTCCCACATCCACCTTTTTCCAGGTACCAAACTGGGCTCTAGGATAAAAAAACTACTTGGCATTTGTATATTTTTGTGATTAATCCTAACTTTACACAACTATTCTACTCAATGTAGTTTCTGGGGGCCTGGATAAAATATAACACTTAAAGCGGAGTAAGGATTGAGGGACAAAGAAGAAAGGTGAGAACTGAAGCAAGCTAGGAAACTCAACCAGGTTGGGAGGGTAATGGAGGAAAAAAGAAACAGTCACAAGAGACTGAATATACAAACTGGGTAACAGTCAGACCACATATGACAATTAAAACTCTGACCCACAATCAGCAATCAGCCCAGCAATCGATCTCTGCAGCAATCAGCCCAGAATTCTTATGACTGGTCAGTGACTGTCAGCCTCCCCCATTTTTGCTCTTCCAACTCAGGACCAACTGGAGAAAGTCAAATATGTGCCACCAAAACAATCACATAAGATGCCATACTTCTAGTGAGCCTGCCTCCAGCTCCCCCATGCCAGTACTCTCAAATCAGTGCATACATGAAATCTTCCCTTTTTGTTTTTCTACCTTAAACTTTCCCACTCCCCTGACAGTCTTTAGTTCTCTGCCAGATGCCAAGTGATAGTGAATGACTGCCTTGTTTAATGAGGCATAGAATAGCCTCTTTGTTCTCATTTGGGTGGTCTTCATTTATTCCCACAGTCATTCATTCACTTTTTTGTCATATATGAATCATATTTTGTGTGCCAGGCAGTGTCCAACATTGCTGTGGAAGCAGATAGTCCTTGTCCTCAAGGATATCCTGTCTATTGGGATAGATACATACATAAATATAACTAACTCAACGTGGTAAATGAAACAGTGAAAGTGAAGTCGCTCAGTTGTGTGTGTCCGACTCTTCTGCGACCCGGTGGACTGTAGCCCACCAGGCTCCTCCGTCCATGGGATTTTCCAGGCAAGAATACTGGAGTGAGTTGCCAGGTCCTTCTCCAGGGGATCTTCCCAAGCCAGGGATCGAACCGCATTGCAGGCAGACGCTTTAACCTCTGAGCCACCAGGGAAGCCCAAGTCAAACAGTAGGCATCTATAAAGGAGGTGTAGATCAAGTAAGGCTTTTAGGGAAAGTGACCCTTAAATCGAGGGTAAGGGACGAGGCTGAGTTCATCTGGCAAAGAGGATCAAGGCAGGTGGAGGCGAGAGGTGGAGGAGGCAGAAACCAGAGGTGTGCGACTGGAGCATAAAAAGGGAGGTGAGCAGTGGAAGAGGCTGCATGGGCAGGTCGTGGACTGCCGTGTGTGTGCCACGTTTGTAAGGACTTGGATTTCATCCTGTCCAAGCGGCTCCCTCCTGGAAATGAGAGGAACCCCTTATATAACCATGGCAGAAAAGCAACATTGAGGAAACTTTATCCTTGTGTGTATCACCGTAAGGTCCGGGAGGTCAGGGACACAACCGCTCGTAATGTCTGGCTCACAGTAGACATTCACTGAATGTTGAATGAATGGGTATAAATGCTTCGATGTAGTCGTCATTGTCCCCAACTTATGTTTTTTTTCTCACGGGACAAGACAGGGAATCCGGGGCATGTTTGAGAGACTGTAGGGAGAACTGCCGTTCTGGAGAACAGGGTTTGCGGACACAAAACCTCTGATTGGCTGTAGGCAAGGAATGCACTTCTGTCGCTAACCCCCGGCTCCTAACCTTCCCCCACCCACCCCCACTCCCCAAAAAGGCGAGCCTCTCTGTCCCGAAAACAGCCTCAGAGAAAAAGCCCAGCAGAGAACTCGCGCCACCGAGAGGGCAACAGCCGCTGGGTACCTGGGCGCACTTCGGTACCTCTCCCACTGTGAGCCCCCGCCGGCCCATCCAGGCGGAGCCCCATTCGCCACCCTTCCGGATTGGACGCGCACGAAATCCCGGGGCGGGCATTAAGGACGAGCGCTCTAGGAGATTGGCCACCCTGGCGGACCGACGTGCGGCCGACGGAGCTGGTTTGCCCGCCCCTCATCTCCGCGGGTCCCCTGTCAGTCATTGGCTCTCTGCGGTTTCCTTGGGGACGTGGCGCCGCCGGCTGCCCGGGCCTCCTTCCGGCTTGGTCAGAAGCTGCTGGGAGCGCCACTGGACCTAGCAGAACGCTGCTGAGGGAGCTGGCTGGCGGTTCGACCGGTGAGTGTGAGCACGGGAATGCTGTGGGGCCGGAAGGGGTGGCTAGGGGAAGAGGAACTCCCATCCCCGCCACCTGGGGACGGCGGGTTCCTCGAGGACGTCGCCGGCCCTCTAGAACACCCGGCTCCTAGGGAGCCGCGGTAGGGACCGCTGAGCCCCAGGAACAAGAGCAAACGTATCTGTAGTGGGAGCCCGGAGAGTGGGTGGGCGCCATGGCTTCTGGTCAGGGGGAAGGGGGGTATAGTCTCGTGGGCATTGCTGGAGATGAACCTGAAACCCAACCAACTCTTTCCAGGCTGCAGACTTAGGAGATGCCGAGGACGAGGAGACCACCTTTTCAAGGCAAAAGGAAAAGGAGGTGACAGGCATTGAGACCACTGAAGGGAACCCATGGCTAGGTAAGATTGCACACTTTATCATCTGCTGGAAGCTCAGTTGGGGGCTGGCAGGCAGGTTGAGAGGCCTTGGGAAATTGTGATAAGTGAGGTTTGCTCTAGGGCTGCATGTGAGTGCTTGCTCTGTTCTAATAAGTGCTACTAGGTTGTAATGTTCTTTCAGATTTCCACTTGAGTGAGGCTAGGTGCCCCTTGAGGAAGTTAAACAAAAACACAAACAAAAAAATTTTTTTGTTTTGTAATGAACTTTGAAAACAGACTGAGGTCTTTTTGAGTTAGTATGAAAAGTGAACTTCACAGTTGAATACACTTATTCATACATTATAATACTCTGAAGGTTTCAGAAAAGATTTATGTGGATGTGTGGGGCAACTTGTACCAAATGAGACAGTTGTCAAATAGAATAAATGGAGAAAGATGTAGGACATTATACCTACTGGTGTAAAACCAAAGGAGTGGAGATACACACACACAGATATCTTACCTTGATGGTATGTGTTTATTATTGTGTTTGCATAAAGTCCATGGGATTGCAAAGAGTCAGACACGACTAAGTGAAAGACACACACATACACACAACCACCACCCCCCCCACACACACACAATATCCCTGGGTAATAGTAGTTGCCTCTGAGAGAGTAATAGTGGTTGCCTCTGACACACACACACACACACACACACACACACACAAAATATTCCTGGGTAATAGTGATTGCCTCTCACACACACACACACACACACACACACACACACAGAATATCCCTGGGTAATAGTGGTTGCCTCTGACACACACACACACACACACACACAGAATATCCCTGGGTAATAGTGGTTGCCACACACACACACACACACACACACACACAATATCCCTGGGTAATAGTGGTTGCCTCTGACACACACACACACACACACACACACACACACAATATCCCTGGGTAATAGTGGTTGCCTCTGACACACACACACACACACACACACACACACAATATCCCTGGGTAATAGTGGTTGCCTCTGACACACACACACACACACACACACACACACACACAATATCCCTGGGTAATAGTGGTTGCCTCTGACACACACACACACACACACACACACACACACAATATCCCTGGGTAATAGTGGTTGCCTCTGAGAGGGAAATGAGGGGTTAAGGAACAAGACTCACTCTCCAGTACATATCCTTTAAACTGATTTTTTTTTCTTTCTGTGTGCATATGTTACCCATTAAAATAGTTTTAAAAATCAGTTAATAAATTTTCTGTCTCTTCTGTCTTTTTGACAGTATTCTTGGTGGGACCATTGCAAGTGCTCTGATTCTTCAATGTTATATGAGTTTGCACAGGGAGACTGGTGATCTTTTCATTAACATGAAGTTAGTTCTTTGAATTTCACCCCAAAGTGCAGACTCTGGAAAAAGAGCAGAGAAGGCTTTTTTAGTTTATATAGTAAAAGTTCCATAACCATATAGGTCCTTTTCTAAACTTTGAGACTAAATGAACATTTAGACTTCTGGTGGCATAAATTATTTGCCTTTATTAGGAAGGGCTTTAATCCAGCTTTAAAATCATTTTTAGCACTCAACTGTAGAGACTTTTCTTACTAATGTTTGTCTTATTTCAGGATCAGTTTTTCCTTCCTCTGCCCAGCCTCCTGGTACTTCACTGTGCCCACAGTGAGCCCATTTCCCCGGCAGCGGGTGGCATTCCTAGGACTCTTCTTCATATCCTGTCTCCTTTTACTTATGTTAATCATGGACTTTCGACATTGGGGTGCTTCATCACCAAGAGATAGGCAATATGAAAGGTGAGTCAGCTTTATATTGCTTTGACCAGCTTTGGCAGTGAAGTCATAAATACTTTGATAAGCTGTTTAACATACTGCTACCTTAGGATGAGATGGTTAGATAGCATCACTGACTCAATGGACACAAATTGCAGTGACCTCCAGGAAGATAGTGAAAGACAGGGAAGCCTGGGGTGCTGCAGTCCATGGGGTCACAAAGAGCTGGACACAGTTTGGAGACTGAACAACAGCCACCTTTGACTCTTTGACTCTTATACTGGGGAGTACTGCACTTTTAGTTAAAATTGCATGCCACTTACTACATTAAAAGATCTTAATTCTTATTTCGGTAATGTTCGGTTCTGATTGAGAAATGCTGATGCTACATTTTAACCATGAAAGGTGTGTTTCTCTTTCCTTGTTTTGGTGGACTGACTTACTGGGTGCATAAATGTTTACAATTGTTACATACTGTTGATGAATTGACCCTTTTATGGTTATTAAATGACTCTTTATCTTTTATTATATTCTTTGCTCTGAAATCTACTAGCCTGGTATTTCTATGGCAGTTTCAGCTTTCTTGTGATTAGTGTTAGCATGATAGATGTTTTTTCATTCATTTACTTTTAGCCTTTTTGTTTTGTTATGTTTCAAGTGTGCTTTTTTTTTTTTTCAAGTGTGCTTCTTGTAGACAGAGTTTAGTTGAGTCTTCTTACCCAGTCTGACAATGTGTGCCTTTTATGTGGGCTATTCAGGTTTTTACATTAATCAGTTATCTTCAGGGTTTGATCTATCTTGCTATTTGTTTTCTGCTTGTCACATCTGTTCTTTGTTTGTCTTTCCTCTTTACCCCACCGCCCTTTTTTTGAATACATTTTTAATGATTCCATTTTATCTCCTTTGTTGTTTTGTTAGATATAATTCTGTTTTTTGTTTTTTTCAGTAGTTGCTTTATGGTTTAAGGCTTAGAATATACATTTTTAATTTACTACTTCAAGTAATATTATACCTCTTCACACAGTGTAAAAACTTAACAATGTACTTTCATTCTTCTCTTTCTCCTTGAACTTGGTGCTATTGTTATCATACTTCTTACTTGTTCCACATATGTTATAAGCTCTACCATACATTATTATTTTTGCTTTAGGCATTCAATTATTTTTTAAAGAGGTTTTTAAAAATAAGAAAAAAAAGGTTTGTATATTAACCATTTCTGGGCCTCTTCATGCCTTTGTGTAGATTTCATATTTCCATTTGGTATCATTTTCCTTTTGCCTAATGGTTTTCCTTTAACATTTCTAGTAGTATGAATCTGTGGTTGGTGAATTCTTTCAACTTTTATATGACTGGAAAAGTCTTCATTTTGCTTTCCCTTTAAAAGAAATATCCACTGAGTATGGAACTCTAGGTTGATCTTTTTTTTTGCTTTCTTTACATTACAGATGATGCATCTCTGTCCTCTGGCTTGTCTTAGGAGAGCTCTGTTGTCATTTTTCTCTTTGTTCTCTCTGTATGTAATGTGTCTTCCTCTGGCTGCATTTAAGGTTTTCTCTTTATCACTGGTTTTAAACAATTTGATTGTAATGGGTTTGGTTTAGTTTTCTTCATGATTCTTATGTTTGTGATTTGTTTATTCTTGGATCTATGGATTTATCATTTTTAATCAAATTTGGAAAAATTTTAATATTATTTCTTCAAATATTTTTCTATACTCTCCCACTTTTCCTTTGGTGTCTCCAGTGACATATGTTGAGTCACATGACATCTTCTCACAGCCCACTTATGTTCTGTTCAATCACTGCCCGCCCCCCCCACCCCCAGTCTTTTTTCCTCTCTGTGTTTTTCTGGATATTTTATATTGCTGTGCCTTCCAATTCATTAGTATTTTCTTCTGTAAGTCTAACCTACTGTTAGTTCCATGAAAGCTGAATACCTTTTTTCATAGAAAATACATTTGGAATTATTTAATATAGCTTTTGTTTGATATAGCTTACCAGTGCATAGAAGATCTGTATTCCTTTAAAACAGTTATTTTGCTATTTTTTATTTTTTTAATTTATTTTATTCTATTCAGCTATACTGGGTCTTCGTTGCAGCATGTGGGATCCAGTTCCCTGACCAGGGATCAAACCTTCCTCCCCTGCATTGGTGTGCAGAATCTAATTCTGGTGTCCAGAATCCACTGAACCATCAGGAAAATCCCAATTTTGCTATTTTTTAAAGATTAGTTTCTGGTTAGGTTACAGAACGAAATGCTAATATGTTGTGTTCATCATCTGCAACATGATTTTCTCCTTACTGCTTCCCAGAAAGGATCAATTAGGAGGCTTTGGGCTACAAGTGACAGTCAGACTGACTTAAAGAATAAGAATGTTTATTGGCTCACATAATAAGTTCAGGGGTAGAAGGACCACAAGTTCAACGTTGGCTCTCAGGATGGGAGTCTCTGTTTCAGTTTCCCGTTTTGTCAGCATGCTAAGTGGTTGTATAATAGCAGCCAGGGCTACCTGCACTCACTAGTGTCCTGTAGGAGAGAAACAGGTCTTTCCATGCTCTCTTAAAAGAATGAAGACCCTTCCTGGAAACTTCCAGCAACTCTTTCTTTGAGTCTCTTTCGGTCAGAATTGGGACACATGCATCCTCCCCTTAATATTTCTGGGTTGTTCTGTCCCCAGAATTTCTCATTTCCTATTCACTTTGGTCACTCATTCGTTAAAACATTCAACAAACATTTATTGACTGGCCACTATGTGCTGAGTGATAGGAACCACGGTATGGAGACTTTGGTGCTTTTTTTTCAAGAAGTTTGTTTTCAGCTTTCCTCCTCCAGTAACAGTATTGCTTGGTATTTTTCTTTCTTCCTTTTCAAAAAGGAAACATTTCTTTAGATCCATGACAGAGTTATTAACAGTTGATCTTGAGGAACCTGTTAGCTTTAGAAAACTCAGTCCATAATTTGAGTGTTTTAAATGCTTATTGAGATTTTCTTGACATACCTGAGCAGAGTTTCTCACTGGAACATAGCATGGTCTAATTATGGACTTATTTATAGGATAATATGGCTAGGGTAAGGACTACTAGGCAGTGAGTGGTGATCTGTACAGCTACAGGGGCAGATCAGACTGGGCCTGTTAAGCCATTTTAGGGGATTTAGACATTATCTTAATATTAATGCATTTTATGATTAGATTTGAGTTTTTGTTGCAGTCTTGTTAGTTGTATTTAAAGTAGTGTAGTGTTGGTACTTTTCACTTCCATGCATTGGAGAAGGAAATGGCAACCCACTCCAGTGTTCTTGCCTGGAGAATCCCAGGGATGGGGGAGCCTGGTGGGCTACCGTCTATGGGGTCACCCAGAGTTGGACACGACTGAAGCGACTTAGCAGACATTATCTTAAGGGTAGAAGGAAGGCTTTGAAAAACTTGAAGAGTGATGTGATCAGAACTGCTTTTTAAGAAAAGGTCACGTTGGTGGTATTATGGAGAATAAATTGGCATACTCCAGTAGAGAGATGATGATGGCCTAGACTTGGGTGGCAGCAATGATGATAGAGAGAAGAAAATGAATTTGAGGGACTCATTGGAGGTAGAGTGATATGATAGTTCTCACCTACTACTAAACTCAGGTGGCCAGATTCAGTAAATACTTACGCTGAATTAACTGAAACAAGTTAGCCGCAGAGCTAAGGAACACTCAGACTGTGCCTGTGTAGTGACTTAACAAAATCCTCACACCCTTAACAAAATCTTTACGCTCTGTAATGCTCTGGTGAAGCAGCCAGCTGTTGTATAGCCTTAGAGCTCCTTGTTCCTTACTGAAAGCTTGTTTGCATATGGCCACAAATTACTGTTGTGTCCTTAAACTTCACTCACGTCTGCCTATAGGAGGCATTTAGGAAACAAACATCTGTTGAGAGCTTGCAGCATGTGAGACGCTGAGCTAGACACTAGAGTACAAAGGTGAATAAAATGTGGCCCCTGAACTCATGGAGCTTGTAATCTAGGTAGGAAGGCAGATGTGAAGGAATAATTGTTTCCCAATGCGATAATAGTTTAACTGTGTAGAATCAAGAACAAAGAATCAGGGACTGTACATAGTCAAGAATCAGGAATAAAGTTAAAAAGCAGAAATTAACCAGAAGAAGCTTATGAGTAACCAGATTTGATGTCACTAAGTTCATGGACTAGGAGCTTGCATACTGTACCGATAAGTTAGGCTCTCAAATAGAGCCTCTTTGCTTTTGTTTTACAAACTGTATTTTTGTTTTTTTAACTTTTTATTTTTAGAGTGTAGTTGATTAACAATATTGTGTTAGTTCAGGTGTAAAGTGATTCAGTTATACATATACATGTATCTATTCTTTTCAAATTCTTTTTCCATTTAGGTTGTTACATATTATGGAGCAGAGTTTTCTGTCCTATACAGTGGGTCCTTTTTGGTTATCCAGTTAAAATATACTACTGTGTACGTGTCCATACTGTTTTAATTAGCATGGTTCCCTCTTGTCTCAGACATAGCTGGTAATAGCCAGTTAGAATGGTGGTAGTGGGAAGGGTATGGTGGTCATTAGATGTGGACACACCGATGACAGTAATTAATGATATACTGACATCTTGACAGTAGGCAGGAGAGAGGAAATTTATTAAAAAATAAAGTAGACTCAATAACTCAGATTTTCTAAAGACCATTTCTATAGTGGTATTCAGTTCTGTGAGAAAAGTGTGTTAGTCACTCAGCCATGTCCCACTCTTTGTGACCCCATGGACTGTAGACTGCCAGGCTCCTCTGTCCATGGGATTCTCCAGGCAAGAGTACTAGAGTGGGTAGCCATTTCCTTCTCCAGGGGATCTTCCCAACCTAGGGATTGAACCCAGTCTCCTGCATTGCTGGTGGATTCTTTACCATCTGTGCCAACAGGGAAGCCCCTGAATTACTTGTGGACCTTTAAAAAATACAAATAACTGGACCTTTTCTCAAGGTGATTCTAATGTGCAGCCTAAGTTGGGAAGCATTGCTCTACA